TGTGTGTGTGTGTGTGTGTATATGTATAATCTTCATGTTTGTTATACATAAAAAGTAAGATTTTTTTTGCCACCCTCAAAGGGGTAGAGAACCAATCTCTACCCCTTTGGGCAACATTTTTCCTACTGAGAATACAAACTAGAAGAATGCAAGGTGGTTATGTGGCTGTGGGTCCTAATGGATGTCACAATGCTGGAGAAATAGTAATGTCAGCATCTTGCCAATACCTGCCCCGGCATGTGCACGTGTGTGTGTGTACACATACCTACAATCTATACATATCTATACATATAGATAGAGATAAAGATACAGGAAGGGTACAGAGTACCCCCACTATTTCAGCTAAGTAAGCAGGATGGTCAAGCCTGACAACTAACCTCGTTTGTGAACAATTTAACTTGAGTCTTTCAAATCACCAGCACACATCAGTGATTTGTTAAAGGAAAATATTTGCAGTACATTAACAACACAAACCTAAGAGGTTTTGGCTCTGGTACCTCAGTGAAAACAGATGGTACGGGAGGTTTACAAAAAGCACATAGAAAAACTTGCCTGCTATTTCCTCTTTCTCCATGACTTCAATACGACTGACCAGGAAGGCTGCACAGTTCCCCAGTTTTCTCAACTCTCATTACCTTTCTTTCTCCTCCAGTTCAGTCACTAATCTGAGGTATAATCAAATCACTAGCCTGAATGATAAAAAGTAGGGGAGGTTGGAGGTTTACCTAAAATTAAATTTCAGGATTATCTGCTATATCTGCTGCTCTGATGTAGGTCACCACTGAAAGACTGAGAGCTGATGCTAACACAGTGAAAATACCAACACAACTGTTCATTCCTTTTTTAAAGCAATGTACTTAAGATATTCTACTTAAAAATCACATTCCTGGAATTAAATATATTTTCACAAATAGGATATTACAAAAATACTATCAGGCATGACTGTGTGTGTTACTAAAATGATCACACTCAGATCTCTTCCTTGTGGGTAGAAGCAATAAATTATCTTTGAAGTCTTAGTCATTTTAATATGCCTTGAAGATAAAAAATCCCACTACTAGAGGCAGTGCCCAGGTTATGAATATGCAACTTATAGACCACTCCTACTTGCCCTTTAATGCAGGACTGTGAACCAGTTCTGTCATGGCTAATGATGTGAAAAAGGAACAGACCTGAAGTTTTACATTTTGGGTGATTTGTCACAATAATCAGAACAAGAAAATTAAGAGTCAAAGCCTTGGAACAGGAAACTCAGAAGGGGCATAGTGAATCTTTCAGGAGCCTGATGTGTAAGACTGGATCATTGGCAGGTCTGTGGGCCACACACATTTAAAGAAGGGTAGTAGGCCACCATCTTTGAGTGGGGCACTGCCATCTTTGAGCTTCCTTGGCCATGACTGACCCAGAAAGATTGGTCTGAAGCCCTGCTTTGAAATTACTCAATCAACCCCTACTTACAACAAATTTGTCATCACAATCATCTTCACCTGCTATATATGAATATTTTAAGGTTGGGCAATCCTACTTCCGTAGTGATACTGCCTCGAAAACCCAAGGAGGAGTCGCTATGAGTCGGGGCCGACTCGACAGCAAACAACAACAACAACAACATATCCTCTTACTTTATAGATAACTCTTCTAAAACTGAAAAGAAAACTGGAGCTGTTTTAAGTTAACTTTTTCAGTCTCTTCTCTGTATACGCATCCATTCTTCCTTATTTGGACAGAGCTAGGATAGTGTTTCTCAGTTTTTTTTCATTGTCCTTCCCTAAAGAACCTTTTTAGACATTTTTTCCCTAATCACTCCCCAGCTTACGAAAATTTAGTGCCACAGATATAATGTATACCTGCTTATATACTGTGTGTGTGTGTGTGTGT